GTATAAAACAACAACATGAGACTGACACCTAAGGACAGTAGATACACGGGACAGATAGATTGCTCCATAGCTGGAAGCCTACCTCATGAGCAAAGGGGAGAAGGCAGCTGGAATAGAGAAGGGATCGCTGAGAAAAAGATGGCTGGAGGAATCGGTCAGGATGGGAGATGTGTGCCGGAAGTAGATAAAGGACCAAACATGATAACCTCTCAGGGTCTGTATTGCAAACCATAATGCCCAAAAGAAGAGAGAGACCATGGGAAATCATTTCTGCCATGAAGGCAGAGGGAAGGTGGGAAAGGGGAGGTATACTGGGGATATTCGTGGTGGGGAATGTGCACTGGTGGAGGGATGGGTGTTTGATCATTATGTGATTGCAACCCAAACATGAAAGCTTATAACTGTCTCATGGTGATTCAATAAAATTTAAAAAATAAATAAATTAAAAAGATAAAAAAATAAAACAAAACCCAACAACTTAAAAAAAACCACTTTAGTGATTTGGCCCAAAGAAGACCATCACCATTACTGTTTGTTTTCAGAAGGTCCAGTGGTGCTCTGTCTCTCCTGCTGCCCGCGTTCGGTAGTCTCGAGCTGTTTCCCCCACCCCAGGGAGGTTGATGGCGATGGGCAGGCGAAGCAATGAACGAGGGCTAGGCTGGTCTGTATCAATTGTGGTTTATTCCAATCTTCACTCTCACCTCTGATTCTGCCCTCTGGATCCCAAGCTCTGGAGCCCAAGCCCACGCCTCAGCCTGAGCCTCAGTCTCTGTTCTCTTGAGCCCAAGCCCCCTTCGATCTTACAGTCTTAGTGTAGATAGCAATCATGTAGGGTGGTGACACAAAGGTGGGTTGAACATTAACAAATCAGCAAAGAGAGGTAAGACCACTGCTCGAGGAGATTAACTCAAGGATTAAATCTCATTTTAAGAGATTTATTCCAGATTACTAGGAGATCTGCTCAAGGGTGGGATCCCAACAAGGATGTGTTCTTTCCTCAGCTAGTAATCTACTTAAATAGTTGTAGTAAGTCTACTTCTAATATTTCTAGCAATGTTATTCTGAATGACCTCAGTAAGAGATAAACTTACAGTTTGGTTCTTCCTGAGGACATCTCTCACTATATATTCAGAGATATATATATATATATGTATACACACACACATACACACACACACACACACATATATATATATAACAGTCCTCAGGTTAGTCTTCCTAGCCCTAGCAGGGTCCTAGTCTCGTCGTTACTTACTTTTGGATCATGACAGCATTTGTCCATGATCATGCCCTCAACTTATAGTTGAGTATTGTGGCGCTTTGGCCTGGCCCATGCTAGGGTAGCTCACAGCTTGCCCTGAGTCCATTCAGTCCCTTGTCGGGACCCTGCTTTTGGGGTGCTAGGAACTAAGGGAAACTGAGTCAAGGAAGCAGATGCCAAGGAGTAAATATTATTCGGAGTCAATCAACTCCCAAGTTACAAGGCATAATATTAACTGTCTCCCTGTGTCCATACAGAAAGGACGTTGCTTTAAGGTAAACTATGCAAAAGACATAACTTACAATACAAGTTCAGTGTCCTTAGAAGGATCTGAACTTACAAGCTAGCAGAATCTGATTAGGGAGAAAAGGTGATTAACTGGCTGGGGAGGAGAGGACAGAGAAGAGTTTACAGATAAACAGAGGAATGGGAGTGACTCAGGAGCACTGTGATGGGTGTAACCTGATAAACCTGAGCTCCCTGTGGCATTGTTGTTCTACAATTACCAACCCCCTGGTAACCTCCTTAGCAACGGACTTTTACCTGAGTAGAAGCCCATGTAGGGGCCGGTTGGAGAAATGCTATCAAAGCAACCTTGAAACAAAGGAAGGTCTCGCATATGCTGTCTGAGCCCATGTGCTGCTTGTGCCCACGTGGCCAAGCACATGTGGTGCCCGAGCACATGTGTCACCCGCATCTCCCCTCTCGAGATGTGGACTTTCATGCTTTCATGTGTGATACTGGGATGTGTGTAGGAGCTCTCTCTGCCCTTGGAGAAGCCCATGTTCTCTCTTGAGTGGGTTACTCTCTCTCTTGCTCTCTCCCCTCCGCCCCTTAAAAAACCCTCCAAATAAAATCTATTTACTTCACTGCTTGTCTACTCCTGAAATACCTTTCTGCGAGGTGAGACAATAACCCAGCAACCCTGGGTCCCGGGTGGCAGAGGCTGTTGGGGAGAAAGTGAACGTCTTTCTCCTCCCTGCTTCACATAAGTCACCCATGGGGCCCACTGACGTCACCATGACCTGGTGAGCCTAGAGTGAGCACCGTGGCAGCCGTGGGGAGCACTACCAGATTGAGCACTAGCATTACAGCTGGGCGGAGTGTAACCCAGCAGATGTGGCTGCTGAGGGCACAAGCACCCAGTGTGGTGTGCGACCCCTGCCAGTCCCGCCTCCGGGCATGTGGGGGACCCTGGTCGTCAGAGGGAGGAAGCATGCTGGGACATGCGGGGCTTGGTTGCTTGGTATTGGACCAAGCCCAGTAGGGGGTCAGTTGCAGATGCTCCCAGACACTCCGCAGTGACTGTGGGCCCTAGTGGGTCCGACTCCTGAGTGCAGGATGGTGCTGGCTATAGCAAGGACTGGGAACATCGATTGGAAAATCCCTCCTGGCATGGAGCTTAGATTCTGATGGGGGACAGAAAAGTGGGATGTTAAATACTGGTCAAGAAAAGAAAGGAAATAAACAGGGGAAGGAATCAGGGAAAGGGAGGGGCCTGAGCTACAGGCCAGGGCAAAGTGCCTGCCAGGCACGTGGTTTGACCCCTGGCACGGCCTGGCCCCTGAAGAAGAGAGACGCCTGCATCTCCTGAGCACTGTGGGTAGCACCTTCCAAAAGGAATTTGGGAGGATGGGCTTTCTACTTTTAAATAAGTCTGTCTGTCCTCCCGTTGTTCATCGATTTGCTCAAGCGGGCCCAGTAACGTCTCCATTGTGAGACTTCTTGTCACTGTGTTTGGCATATTGAATACTCTCGCTATCTTGCCAGGCTCTCCAAGAGGGGCGGAGGAATTGAACCCGGCTCGGCCGGGCTGGCTGTGCGCAAGGCAAACGCCCTACCTAACGCCCTACCTAACGCCCTACCTATCGCTCCAGCCCACTTGAGTGGTCGCAAGGTCAACTTTTAAATAAGATGGTCCCAAAAGATCTCATTGAGCAGATGACAGTTGGGCAAAGACAGGAAGGAAGGGAGACCACGAGCCTTAGGGGGGTCAGGAACAACCAGACTCCCCTGTGACAAGAGTGGGTGCTTTTGCTATGTTCAACAAGCAGGGAGGAACTGGTGCAGCTGAAGGGGAGTGAGAGGGATAGAGAGCCAGAGGGGACGTCAGATGGATGGTGTAAGCTTGCAGGTGGTCATGGGAAGTGTGGCTCTTGCTGTGTCCACACAGACAGGCATCCTGAGGAGGTCACCGGGCCCATCCAGTGTGGAGGGCAGACCACAGAGGCAGGGCGTGCTGGGCCTGGACCCAGGCGTGGAGCAGTGCAGACTCCTCTCCTCAAGGCTGGAAGGGAGGCTTGGGTGTCAGATGTTAGAGCATCCTGAGGACTTTGTAGGGGTGTTTTCAGGCTAAGAACAAAGGGGTCCTTCCCCCTACAGCTGTGGGTTTTGCCCATGGTGCCTTGACACTGATCATCCTTCCACCGTTGGCAAAGCCAGCCATGAAAAGCCTGACTTCGAGTGCCCTGGAGGTTCCTCCTGCCCCTTGGCCTTCCTGAAGGTCATGCTAAAGGTCACTTCCGTGTGCCCAGGCCCTGTGGGATTTCAGTGTTTTTCCATCCCATGTCCTCACTAGCACCCTGCAAAAAAAAAAAAATCAGTGAGTTCAGATCCATCTTTAAGGGGACAAGCTGGCATGCTCATAGTCCAGCGCAAGGCCTACGGCTGGCGAGCGTCTCAGACCCACGGGCAGGTCCCCGGCCCACCAGTGCTCCTGTCCCAAGCAGCATTCCCAAGCAAGGTCTGTTGGTTTGCTACGGCCTCCTGAATGAGCACCTTGGCCACGACCTGCATTGGTTCACTGTTCAAGAGCAAGACGACGGCAGAGTCGCCTTTCTTCCAAGCTCTCTCCTTTGGAATGCTGCCCTCCCCCCTCCCCCTTCCCACCCTTCCCCGGGTCCCCACATAGGTGGCCCTAGGTTAGGGGTGGGGTCTGTCTGTGTCCTAACCGCGCCTCATGTGGCCTGCCTGGATGACCTCCTTCATAGCCGAGTATCATATATTACTATTCATTATGATTTGGGTCATGCCAGCAGTACTCAGGGCTTACTCCTGACTCTTTGCTCAAGATCACTCCTGACGGGCCTGGGGGGCCATATGGGGTGCTTGGGGATCGAACCTGTGTTGACTGCGTGCAAGGCAAGTGCCCACCCCACTGTATGTTGCTTGAGGCGTTGATCACTTTTTTTTTTAAATTGAATCACCATGAGGTACAGTTACAAGCTTTCATGTTTGAGTTTCAGTCACACAATGATCGAACACCCATCCCTCCATCAGTGCACATTTTCTACCACCAATGTCCCCAGTATCCCTCCCGCTACCTCCACCTCATCCCAGCCCCTGCCTCTATGGCAGGCAACTTCCCTTCTACTTTCAGCACACATCTCCCACCCCAAGCGGTCCCTCCAACCATCATTGACTTAGTGATCCCTTCCCGGCTGCCCTCTCCCCCAGCTCATGAGGCAGGCTTCCAATGATGGAGCAATCCTCCTGGCCCTTGTCTCTACTTGGGTGTTGGTCTCCTACGATGTTATTTTTTGATCACCTTGTTACAGCCTCTGGATACCCTCCCATTGGAGGCTTGGGGGCTGGGGACACAGCTGTGAATTTAGGGGGGCATAATTCAGCCCGTAACAAGTTCTCCCGTGTGTGGTAATTTGGGGTCAGTGTATGGCCTTTCGGCAAACTTTGTGGGGTCACCAAGTAATGGTTGTCCCGGTTCTCTTTCCCGCTGCAGCTGTTCGGGGCCCTGGTGCTGTCCGTGGGCATCTACTCGGAGGTGGAGCGGCAGAAATACAAAACCCTGGAAAGTGCCTTTCTGGCCCCCGCCATCATCCTCATCCTCCTGGGGGTGGTCATGTTCGTCGTGTCCTTTGTGGGCGTGCTGGCATCCCTCCGAGACAACCTCTGCCTTCTCCAGTCGGTGAGTCGGCCTCCCCGGGCCCCCCGCTTCCCTGGCAGGGGCTGGGGGGAGGTCATCGGGGGCCCAGAAAGTGCTCCTTGAGAGCACAGTAGCGGAGTCCTCCTACTCAGCTCTTCTAGAAGGTTCTCTGGATCAGTGCTCTGTCCACAGCGTGCCGAAGATGAAGTGACACTCGTTTGCTTAAAGTCTACACTGACCCCGGTCTCACAGGGAGGGGAGACCCCGCAGCAAAGGGGATAAAGGATAGGAACAGAGACTGTAGGTGGGGGGGTCCTTTGGTCCTGGGACCAGCACCCGCCCCCCACACTGGCCCTGGGGCCCTCTCTCGCCATGCCCTGGCTAGGATGTCCAGCTATGCCCGTGAGTTCTTTCTCTCCGCCTTGGGCCCCACCAGCCTCAGCCCCGCGGGGTCCTTCCGGCTCTGCGTCGGGCATCCTTCCTGTTGGCCTACGCTTCGGGACTCTGCAGTCCTGTGTGCCGAGGGCCTGCGTTGGGGTCTAGGATGGAACTCGCCCCCCCTCTGTCCACCTTGCTGTGGGCTGAGGGTGTGGCTACCCCTCCCCAGTTGGTCCGTTTATTTCCTCTGCTCCCACAGGCCCCCTTGACCTCGCTGTCTGCCCCCACTGGGAAGCCCCTGAAAACCCTGTAAGTTGGCTGGCAGGGACAAGCTGGTTTCTGACTCAGTGCCGGGTGTGCTGCACCTCCGAGCCTTGGCATCCCCTCTGCCCCTGGGCAGGGGGTGGATCTGGGCAGCTCCTTCCAAGGGGCTCTTTGGCACAGTGGAAACTGATCCTGGGGAGTGTCCTAGTGGGCCCCAGCTGGAGCAGGGGCCACTCCCATCCTGGGGCTGGGGGCTGGGGGGTTCCCACCCAGGTCCTACCAAGTCCTCCTTCATCCAGAACAGCTAAGTCGCTCTTCCTGACCCCTCACCCCGGAGAGGGACTTTCCTGGGGCACATCTGTTCATGGCTTGTGTCCTCCCGGGAGGAAGGGACGAAAGGCTCTGGTAGAGGCCGGAAGTGACCACTGGCCTGCGCTGCTTCCCTGACCTTCTAGATGAATCTCTAAACTTTGTTTTTCAGTTTATGTATGTCCTTGGGATTTGCCTCATCATCGAGCTCATTGGCGGCGTGGTGGCCTTGACCTTCCGGAGCCAGGTACTCGATCCTTAAGTATGCTGGTGTGGGCAGGAAAGCTGGGGGGTCCCCACTGCCACTGTGCCCCTGGGTATGCCTGACAGAGAGTAGCTCTGCCCACCTTCTGAGGGGGAGCTGGGCACGGAGCGAGACGACCAGAGTAAAAGCAACGAAACAGTGACTGGGAGTGTTGGGGTGGGGGTGGGAAGGGGCGCCAGGAGGTGCAGAGGGAACAGAGGCCCTGGGAGAGAGATCCACTGAGGCAGGAAGGACCATGAGGTAGGTGGCCATGAGGTGGGAATTGCAGGTGGCTCCCAGCTCCTCACAGGCCGTGGAATTCATCTACAGGCCTCTGGAGAGTTTGATGCAGGGGAGCGGTGTGAGGTGATTTAGGGTCTGCTTTTGCTCTGTTTGCCAAGTAGAGAAGGGGCAGGGAGGCCCCTGGAGTTTTGGGGGGGACCAGCTGGGAGGGGAGTGAGGATCTGGCTGAGCTGGCAGCAGGGGCCTACGGATCAGGCCTGCTTCCGGCCTCCGGCTCTTTCCTTGCCAGGCCCTGGGGGCCGCATAGAAGCTTGGTGCAGTCACGCAGCTTCTCAGATCCTCGGCGCACACCCAGGGTTGGCTCCTGGGGTGTGGGTGAGGGCCAGACATATGGCCCTGCCCATTTCCCACCCCTGGTGGACCTTCCTGAGCTAATGCCAGGCCTGGTGAAGAGAAGAGCGTTGGCCTTCACCTGGCCTGAGCTTGGAGGGAGGCTGTTTGCTGCAAAGCCTCTGCCTCATTCCACCCCCCTCGGGCCCTGCCTCCTGGGAATGGCCACCGGGCAGGTGCCTGAGGGCCAAGGCCCAGCGTGGCTCTTCCCAGCAGAGCTGACTCCCACCAGACTCCTTAAGGGCCCAGGAGACCCTCGGTCTCACCTGTGCCCCCTGTGGGTGGTTCCTCTCCACCCTGGGACGAGGGGCGCTCTCAGAAGCGGGAGGGAAGATTCCTCTCACATCAGAGGGGCCATCGAGGCACAGAGAAGCTGACAGCCCTTCTGAGAGTAGAGCAAGCTCAGGGGTGCTTTCCAATCCCACCTTTTAATATTCTATTCCCTCCACCTGGTTTATGGAATAAGGTGATGATATATTTAACCTGCACGTGTGATACTTTGATATATGTGCATTATTAAATGAGTATCATAATAAAGATAACTAACACATCCATGACCTTACAATTTATGTTTGGGGAGTGTGGAGGAACATTTGGGCCACACCTGGCAGTGCTCAGGGCTTACTCCTGACTGTGCTCAGGGATCACTTCTGGCGTGCCCAGGGGACCATATGTCATGCTGGGGTCTGCATGCAAGACAAGTTTACCAGGCGGACGGTATCTCTCTGGCTCCAGTAAGTGTGCGTGTGTGTGTGTGTGTGTGTGTGTGTGTGAAAATATTTAAGATCTATTCTCTGCCAATTTGGGTATTAAATACAGAATTATTAATAGTTACTGTCTGTCCATTAGACCCTCTTGCTTTCTTCATCCAGGACTGAAGGTCTGTGCTCTTTGGCCAGCACAGTGCCCGCCTGTGCTCCCTTCCCCTGGCCCATTTCTCTACTCTGTTCCAGGGGTTTTTTAAGACTGAACTTGTAAGTGATATTATATAGTGTTTGCCTTTGTCTAATTTCACGTAGCAGGAGGTCATCAAGGTTCACCCATATGGTTACATATGGCAGGACTTCCTTCCTCTGTATAGAGGAAGAGTCCAAATACATATTTAAACATATATCCATGTATGTAAACACATTCAAATACATCTTAAATATGTCAGCATATATTTAAATGTATTTGACTATGTTGTAAGACATAGTTAAACACATCAGATGTAAATATATTTAAATATATCAGACTACAAATATATTGTATATGTATTTCTAGATGAATTTTTTATTTATATGTTTATACATTTATACATTATACATTATATATTTAATTATATATTTAAATATATCAAACAAATACTGTCCTCCCACTGTTCATCGATTTGCTCGAGCAGACCCAGTAGCGTTTCCATTTTGAGACTTGTTGTTACTGTGTTTGGCATATTGAGTGTACCCTCGGGCTTATTTGGCATATTGAATGTACTTGCCGGGCTCTCCGAGAGGGGCGGAGGAATCGAACCCGGCTTGGCTGGGCCAGCTGCGCGCAAGGCAATCGCCCTACCGCTGTGCTGTCAGATTCCAAAATATATTTTACATGTAAACATATAAAATATAAAACATATAAAACATTTATATAAAACATTTATATAAAATATAAATCAATGAATAACGTTGTTGTTAATTAATAATACCAAAATATTAAATAGATTTAATTATATTCAGCCTATTTAAGTATATGTCTATAGATGCATGTATAGTACTATTTAAAGACACAACTCTTCTTCATAGGTAGCTAACTATGTAAAACTTAGTTAAATGTTACTAATCTATGTCTATCCCATTTCCTTTACCCATTTGTCTGAAGATGGACACCAGGTTGTTTTCATCTTAGCTATTGTGGAAAATGTCGTAGTGGATGTGGGGACACCCTTCATGGCACAGACCTTGAGATAGTGATCTCCTCTCCTTTGGTTAACTGCCCAGGAGTGGAATTTCTGGGTTATATGGCTCTATTTTTAATTTTTGGGGAACTCTTCATGCTGCTTTCCGTTATGACTGTTCCAGTTTACATTCCTAGCAGTAGTGTATACAAAGGTGCCCTTTTCTCCTCATTAGTGTTGGTTGTTCCTTGATTTTTTGAACAGGTGGAAGTGATACATCCTTGTGGTTCTGATTTGCATTTCCCTGAGGATTAATGATGTTGAGCATTTTTCAGTTGTTTCTTAGACATTTGTATTTCTTCTGTAGAAAAACATCTATTCAGGTCCTCTGCCCACTTACAAATCAGGATACCCTCCTCTCTGGAGTGCCCTGCCACCCAATTTGGGATATGAAATGCCTTTCCACGTGGGATTCTCTCTAAATGTCTTCCTGTCTGGAATTCTCTGTTCTCTGTCGCCTCTCTCATATTTCCTAATTAAAGTATTTTATATTAAAAAAACTAACATAAGAATCAAATTATTTTTTACTTTTGCTATTGAGTTATAAGAGTACCATATATGCTTTATATATGAAACACCATGTCAGACAGTTTACAAATATTTTCTCATCCTTTTCAGTTTTGATGGTTTCCTTTGCTCCTGTAGAAGCTTCTGTTTGATTTAGTCCCACTTATTTTTGTTTGTTTTTGTTTTCGTTACCTGTTTGATATCAAATCTAAAAATTCATTGCCAAGCCCAATGCTTTCTCCTTCTATTTTCTTATAGGAACTTAATGATTTAATATTTACATATTTTATTCATTTTGGCTTTTGTGTACATTGTAGGGCTGGGCACAGCAGTAGGGCGTTTGCCTTGCATGAAGCTGGCGCGGCCGAGCTGGGTTCTATTCCTCCGCCCCTCTCAGAGAGCCTGGCAAGCTCCCGAGAGTATCTCGCCTGCACGGCAAAGCCTGGCAAGCTACCCGTGACGTACTCGATATGCCAAACACAGTAACAACAAGTCTCATGATGGAGACGTTATTGGGCCCGCTCGAGCAAATCGATGAACAATGGGAGGAGAGTGCAGTGCAGAGCAGTACATTGTAAGCTAAAGGTCCGATTTTATTATTCTGATTGGGGTTATCCAGTTTTACAAATATCATGTGGAAGAGACAATGCTTTAAGTAAGTCTTCTTGGTGCTCTTATCAAAATTGAACTTACCATGTATATATGAGGTTTATTTCTGGACCGTTTGTTTCGTTGCACTGTCTGTTTGTATTTATGTCAATCCCATACTGTTTTGGTAGCTGTCATTTTGGAATATATTCTGAAATCAGGAAGTATGAGATGTTCCAGATTTGTTCTTCTTAGGAATTCCTTGGTTCTTTGGATCTTTTGTGACTTCATATTAACTTTGTGATTCTTTTCCTATCACTGTATCGCTGTATCACTGTCCTCCCATTTTCATTGATTTGCTCGAGCGGGCACCAGTAACATCTCCATTGTGAGACTTCTTGTTACTGTTTTTGGCATATCTTTTCCTATATCAAAGAAAATTTATTGCAATTTTGATAGGGATCGCATTGACTTTAGTAGATCAAGTTAAGTAGTATAACATTTTAATAATATTAATGATTGAATCTGTGAATGAGAAATATCTTTCCTGTTACATTATTTTCAGTTTCTTTCATAAATGTTTAGTAGATTTTAATATACAGATTTTTTTCACTCCTTGGATAAGTAAGTAAACTTTCTGATTACTGTTAATGAGATTTTTCTCTTAATTTTTTCTTTGACTAGTTCATTGTTAGTGTATATAAATGCAACTGATTATTATATGTTGATCTTTGTACCCTATAATTTTACTGAACTTGTTCTTTTCCTGGGGGTTTTAGAATTTTCTGTTTATTTATGGGCATGTCAAATGCAAACAGATAATTTCACCTTTTGGGGGGATTCTGATTGAGATAATTTTAATTCTTTTTCTTTCCTAATTGCTTTGGCCAAGTACTGGAAGTCTTACGTTGAACCCAAGTGGTAAGAGTGAGTACCTTGGCTCTTGCGGAGCTTAGAGTAAAAACTTTCAGCTTTTCACATTGAGTTTGATGATGTCTGTAAACTTGTCATGTCTGACCTTTATGATGTTGAAGTATGTTTCTTTTATACACATTAGTGAGGAATTTTTAAAAACCGTAAATGGATGTGTGGGAGAGATACACCCAGCCGTGACGTACTCAATATGCCAAACACAGGAACAACAAAGTCTCACAATGGAGACGTTACTGGGCCTGCTCGAGAAAATCGATGAACAACGGGAGGACAGTGACAGTGACAGTGAATGGATGTTGGATCTTAAGTGCTTTTTTTTTTCTAATGAAATGGTCATGTGATTTTTTGCCTTCATTTTGTTGATATGATGTATCACATCTATTGATTTGCTGATGTTAAGCAACTCTAGAACCCT